AGTTCACACACTGTTGAGCTGATGGCTTCCGTGAACCTTTTCAAGATTACAGGGTAGACCTTGTAAGATCTTAGTGACATCCGTGTATGCAAGGATTTTATGTTTCATGTTACTAACCGAGGAGTTAGTTGGATGTTACACAGGTCATCAACTGACGTTGAAGTTAATGAATGTCCAGGTCTCGTAAGTCCCTGGTTCAATTGGTTAGTGAAGTTGGCACTAACGATCTCTCCTATCTCGAAGTTCGTAAGATCTTCGCCACTCGTGAATTTAAGAGCACGTGTCCCTTGTTTTGTAGAATTTTTCATTTATGTTATCGTAGAGATGTTTGGGGTTAACTTATATTTTGGCTACTATATTGACCTGGAAATAGTTTTTATCGCTTTGACCACTGGTATCTTATCCATTTCTTAATACAAAGTGACAGCTACGAGTGTTGATGGTGAATAATAAAAAACTTATAGAATGTGAATTGAAAAGACTTGTTTTATGCGTAGCAAAAAAGATTAGTCATTAAAAGTAATAGAAATGCAAAATTGTTTATGAATTTTTAGTTTTCTAGAAAAATATATAACATTAGAGTAGGTTTGAATTAATACAATTTGTCCGTTTACTAAATCTAATGAAAAGTAGATACTGGTTCATAAATTGCATTATTAAATGTATGTTAAATGTACTTTACACACTTGGGGTTAATCAGTAACTGAATATTTATTGAAAGAACTTAAAGTTATTTAATGACTGCAAGAACCACAAAATAATGGTTCGAATGCTTGTTTCTAGCATTCGATGCTTTGATATGGTTATAAATTTAAATTAATATGAATACCTACACTAATTGTGTGTAGGTATGTTAATAAAACCTTCAACTAAAGAATCAACAAAAATCTACATTAATATTTATTGACATTTCATAGATCCATATTCATGTAACAACATAACATAAGACTAATCTAAGTTTCATTGCTTACTAATTGTTAAAGAAAGACAGCAATTTTTCATTAACATCTATGAATGCATTACAATAAAATATTCTTTATTTTTACTTAATAACTCAGGAAATTACTGAATTTTGACCACAAAGAGCTTTAGAAGAAAAAAAAAAGAAGAAAAGTAGGTCAGTCGGATATATTTTAGAGCCTCTAATAAAAATGCACACAGCAATAATGGGTTTACTAACAACATAACTTGCTGACTATTTGCCTTAATAAAGGAAATTATTTAAGTTAATAAAATATATAAATATATATAAATGACGTTATACAGATCAGATAAGAGTAATTATATTCATTTAAAGTAGAATAAATGTAAAACTATCTTATATTTAACCTACATTTAAAAACAAATAGGAATGAAATAGATGAATGTTAACAATAAACTGGTTTATTGTAAAATATTCATCGACTTACCGAAAAAATAAATAGATCGTTTTACAGAATATTTGTATATTTCATAATATTCAACGATCAGTTGTTCTTTGTTATTAATCCGTATTGATTCTGTTTTGTTTTTTTCTTTCGTGATGAATATCTTAACCAGATATACTGTAGTGTCGGTTATTATGTTAAGCACATATACCTTATTCTAGCATTCGGACAGCCGGTTCTATTCATCCTACTTGAGTCACATTCTGACCTTGTTAATTATTCGCTTATCAGTTTTGATTGTTTTTATATGAGCGCGTAGGTGTGTGTACATTTCTTATCCCATTACTCATCACATGTCCGTAACTTACTTTTGTGTAACTATAAATATTGATTAACGCTTGGTTAAAGGGGAATTGGCTTACTCGCCATCTCCACTGCGCGTCGTTTTGTTTTGTTCTGTTCCATTCGCTTTATATACAAAATATATGTATTCAAAAGTCCATTCTCGTTATTTGAGTTATTTAATTTCGTTATTGACTAACGCGATTTAATTCGATGATTATATACGAGGATAGGTGATAACACACATTCATACGATCTCCTTGGAGTCAGATCCCGTGCCACTAAAGTGGAGAGCCCTTTCGACAAGATCGTTCGATCTAAATGACGACTAAATAACGGGCCTCCACAAAAATATCATCTTTAATATTAGTAAACGAAACACAAATGTGTATATTGCATATTAAATGCAATCAATTGGTTAAGTGTATCATAATTAAACATAAATGATTATGGGATATTCAGTAAATGAATAGACAACTTTATAGTCGATTGAAATTTTAAAAATATTTTTACAAATATTTCACATTTATTTGAATATACATTTCTTCTAATGATAATACGTTATTAAAACAAGTATGAGACAATTTGAATGAATAGTAAAATGGAATTGTTGGTCTTCAAAAGTACATCTAGTTTATAAACAAAATTGTAATATTTGTATTCAATAGTGATTTCTTTGTACATTGTTCTGCAGTTGATTTGAATTCTAAGTTCTTTACTTTCGACTATGAGTACACAGTTCTCTCTGATTTGAATACTAGTCCTTACGTGACTACTAGAGTACGAATCAGACAGTTATAAATACTACTAGTCAGTATACCGAATTTAATTGCTTTCAAAGATAATGAAAGTATATCATATGATGAACGTTAAAAAGTCATAATAATGATACTTAATAAGATATCAGCAAAACAAGTTGATAACTGAATAATATAAAATGCGTAACTTTCATTTCATTACTATTCTCTAAGGAATATAGTCTGAGTATAAAACAAAATCCCAAACTAACTAACATTGATATGTAACAATCAAATAAACTTATTCAATAGTTCATATCAACATTCCTTGTAAACAAACAAAGCGACATTAAGATCATATAAGATGTACACTTATTTAAAGAAACCAAATTACTTTTTAGAAGAATCCAACCAACTGTTTATATATTTTGAGTGCCTAAACAATCTTATTTTAAGGATTAAATTTCATCTATTTTTTTCTTATCATAACATGAAACATTATCCTACAATCTCTTTCTTTCTTTTCATTCAACTTTCCATAATATTATGGTTAATCTTTAAGTTTATGTTATGATGATTCCTCCCAAAAAAATAAATAAACAAAAACTAAACGTCAAAAACAAACTATACAATGATGTTTATCATTGTACTGATTTATTACTAATATTAGTTATAATTTGATAAGATTTATTCCATTATAAGCTTGGTAGATTTATAAATAACTCATTTTTACTTGTAAATAACTCATTTAATCTATATTCATAATGTTTATTCATATAAGTCTATGTCTATTCAACGATGATGTTTGTTTATTAGGTAGATATCTATATAATGCTTTAATCTCTTTCAAGATATAAAGCTTTTAAGCTCTTTCAAATTTATTTTGATTATTTACAAAGATTAAACTCATTCAAACAAAATATCATAACAATGATTGACATTTAATTTACGAATGATAGTAAAAGAAATGATTTGCTTAGCCTTAAACAACTGAGTATGATGAACCTATATAAATAAGAACAATAAACATTGGAGAGTTTTAATCTTATCAGGAACGGTAAAACCAACTTAAGAATTTTAATAGAATAAGAGAAACAAACATGGCAAAACTCATTTTATTTTATAGTTTCTCTTCAGCTACATTAAAACCTGAATACAATCATATTAACCACTAAAATTATGTACATACTTCATATCATTTATAATTAAAAATATTCATTTCGATGAAGATTAATAAAGCAACAATAAATATGGGAAGAGTATAGAACAATTCTGAACTTTACTCCATTGCACTAGGATGTGGCTATCAGGACTCAGTAGCTAAATGGATAACGTGATGGCGTTTGAAATTAATGGTATTGTGTTGGAGTCTCGGAGTGAACATCAACTCTGTGATGCAGGTACATCCAGCTCGTCCTAGATTCCACAACTAACTAATATCTATCTTTGCTTATAAAACTTGTGACTTAAGGCAATATCGAGACAATCCGCACAGGATGTACATATGCTAACAAGAAACTGATCAATTGCAGTCCTAAATAACAATGGGAAGATACAAGCAAACAACATCAAGCGAATTTCCAATAACTATTGAATATTTTTCTTCTTGTTCTATTCATAACAAAAAAAAATCATTTCAAATTTAGGAATTTTATTTAAACAATAATGTTAAAACTTCAATAATCAAAAACGACTTTTTAAAATAAATGTTACTACAGAAGGGAATATGACATGTGATTAAATGGGATGATTATTCATTTTCAAAGCTATACAATCGCAAATATAGACTTCTTTTCAAAATGACCATAAATAATATGTCTGGTAATGATGATAATAATAACAATACATTTATTAAACATGGTAAAGGAGACATTGAATAAACAAAAACACAAAAAAGTTATCATTGTTAATTAACTGAAAATGTTGTTCTTATGAGCTGGTATATTCATCATGAAGATAAATAAAGATTAGTAACTATTAAAAAAGGATTGAATGTGGAAATTGTGATTACAAAACCGGTTAGGGGTAAAGTATCATTACGGAAGGAGAGTAAATGGTTTGTGGTGGTTTTGGAAAAGAAAAGAAGATTCAAACTATATTGGAACCAGAGATTCGACAAACTGTTCTGCGCATATAGTTCTTGTTTTTTTAGATATATTGCGAATGTTTCGGTAACTCTAAGAAAACAGGAGCTCTATATCTTTGATAGTTTTCTTCTTACCCTGTAAATGACTTGAAAAGCCGCGTCTGTTTAGATCGAGCAGGCTGTGTTCACAGGGTGCTTGATTATGACGCATCTTATTGTCCATTCCCGCCTCAAAAGCGAAGATGAATAATGGTCTTGAATTCTCTTGAATAGAACACGCATAGAACTACCCACGTACTTAGCTTTTCAGAAGCCGATTAATTGATAATTCCACATAGAATTAGTCAAGTTATTAGCCGTAATTTTACCATGGGCTCAGATACATCATACCATTACCTTTTGAAAATAATTCTTCGTCTCAAAATGTTGATCAGTATCCATACGATTATGAATTTTCAATAATAACACTGGTAATTAGTTCGTTAAGAGCCTTACTCAACTTCATTATCCAGTAACTATGAACAAAATATGAACAGTATTATTCACAGACAGAACTAAAATGAAGTATTGATTGTTCAGTTTCACTAATAATTATTCACTTGTGTTTTAAGTTACAAACGGATCTACTGACATAATAAAATAAAACACAATTGTTTACGTTTTATTTAGATTTATATTTTCTCATTTTACGGTACATAAATATTAGTACACCTTTGGATGAAATATTTTTGCTTTTAAATATTTAATTAGTGGTTTTTTAGTGGCACGATATCTGACTCCAAGTGGATCGTATAATTGATCGTTATCGAAATACACATGTTGGCTATCTTCGTATGTAATTATGGACTTAATACGTGTTGGTGAATAGCAGAATTAAATAAGCCAAATACGAGAATGGATTTTGAATATATATTTTTCATGCAATTGTTTATTCAGACTAAAGAGCGGAGAAACGAAACAAAGATACGAGTCAAGTGAAATAACACGCGATGAAGATGGTATGCAGGCCAACTCAGTTTAACCAAGCGTGAATCGATTTTTATAGTAGAGCAAAAATAAGTTACAGATATGTGGTGAATAGGATACGAAATGCACACACATACAAAAACAGTCAAGGTTGATAAGCAGATAATTGACAAGGTCAAAATGTAGCTTGAGAAGAATGAATAGATCGATCTGTCCAAAGGTTAGAATAAACTATGTGGGCTTGACTTAGTACCAGCCCCTACAATTTAATCAATATTACGCTTTTTTCATGGAATTTTATTTTCAAGTTACAGCTGATTTAAGTTGACCTCATTATCTCTCTTCGAAACTTCTATAACGGGACGAATATTGTAAAAGTTGGAACTTTTATAACCATTTTTAAAATCATGATTATTTGTATTTTTATTGTGCAGTTACCAAGTGACTGGATTACTAGGTTTATGTATTTCGTGTATTATAAGCTTCACCTATTAAGTAATGCCATATTGACTCACTATTCTTAATCTGTCGCCGGTTTATTACATACAGCTTGCCTTGATCACAGCCACTTTTGACTTGTTTATCATTGTGATTTATCCATTTTAAGGTATGATGTGGTCCATTATGTTTGTGTATCGACTCACTTATGCTTGAAGCTATAATGATGGCAGAGGCTGACTGCTTATTTCTCTTTGGACTCAATGGAAGGGACAGAGTATAGTAGACCAATAGGCAATGAACTTGCACTGGGTCAGGGTTAACTGTGCAGGTCAAACGTGTTATTGGTCAAATCTAGGATATAAGGTCATAAACAGAATATTAGACGCGATATCAAGAAAATCATCGTCTGAATTCTGATTGGGCAATATAACACTTGGTATTGAGCTAGCGATCGCAAGCCATAGCAGAAGCACCTTTGCAAACCAATAAAGATATGACTATTCGATATGTATCATTCTATTATATCATCTAATTACTTTAACCATTGCTCTGATATCACTCTAGATTATTTCATCATTATTAAAATTCTTCGGATGATTTTGCTGTGTATACGGTTGCGAAATTCATTTTATGCCTAATCAACCTTCTGAAATAAATAAACCCAGTGGATACTGTAAATGCACAAAGAAAATACATTATACCTAAACATTTATTGATTAAATAATGACTGGTAATAATTTTCAGATTCTTCCATCTTTATTGTTTAAGACTGAAGTTTGAGATATTTTTAACTAACTTCTAGACTGATTTGAAGCCCAAAGACAAAAGTGAAGTTTAAAAATAAAGTCTTTTACATAGCCGTTTTCAGTAAATCCTTTAAATTTTCCCTCCTTTTAGGTTATCGAAATTAACTAGCTCTTCTGAGAGAAAACAACAATCTTTTTTCTATGGGATGAAATCTCACTGTTTAGACTCAGTAGAATTGTAGTAGTTTCAACTTTTTCATGGCTTGCAATATAGTCTTTGGAATATTTTCAACAGTTTTAAAAGGTTTCTGACAGTGTAGTTCTTGAAGTAAAGGAAGAACTTATTTAGACTGAACTACATTAATTTTGCACAGCACTATGCAATTTATGTTAAACTTCAACCTGGAATTTCGCCCACTGACAGATGTATGTAAAAGCATAGACTAAACATACAGTTTTTTATTGCTTGTGAATATTAATCTAGAAGTTGTATGCTAAGTTAACAAAATGACACTTACATGTATACACTTCGGCAACATTAGTTCCTCTCACGATGGTTTTCAAATGTATTAATGTGTCAAACACTTTGATGTACATATATTAGGGTTCAGACCATCAGCTCCTTCAAGATTGCTGTCAGGCAATGCTTACGATTATCAACGAGTATGAAATTTAGGTTTAGGATTTCCCATTGACCATCTTCAGCCACTAAAGACATCTAACCGAATATGTGACGAAAATAAGTCTAGTTTATAACTGGTAGCTAGAACTTTTAAAAAAATCAAACAAACGAGATTGAAAAAGAGGACAATAACAGTTTGATACACTTTTATAACTGCTCTTATTGAAAAATATTTCTAGAGTATCTACAGTATCTAAAACTGAAACCTTATAGACATCATCATCAATAACAAAATTACAATACGCTTTTGACATTTTGTAAGTATTCCAGTAATTTCTAAAAAAAAACATGTTACATATTAATAAGAAAGAACAAGTGAATGTTAGTTTCATTAGACAAATCTGCTTTTTTTTGGTTTCATATAGTTACAACTGACACGGATGTTTGAGGTGAATTCAATTTTAATTTGTTACTTTGTTTATTGTTATTATTGTTATTGTACAACATTGAATAATGAGAATTATTTGTAACTAATTTGATATTTTTCTTTTCAGTATCAAAACGTACACCAGATTTACGTGACACACTGGTAGATTGACTACGTCGAAATAGAATTGGTGGTTTTATTAAGATTGAGGTGGGTATGTTTGACTGTATGTCATATGTCCTATTACTGTTCTTAAGAGTTTCAGTATTTTCGAATTTAATTTCACAACGTTTTACCAAGTTACTTTCCGACGATGTAACATTATTTACAGTTGGGATGTTGTTGAAATGATACAATTGTAAACGACTACTTACATTTTCGAAATTTGTCATAGACTCTGACTGAATATCTGAGTTCTTGTGCTTTTCGGATATATCAGAACATGAGAAGTTTGTACGACTGACGGAAAGATTCTTATCATTTTGATGTCTATCGTCCACATTCTGTCGGAAAGGTTTACAATTTGAAAATTCTGATGGTCTAAAATCAACATAAATTGAAAATACTGTACATGAAAATACTACACATAAAGAAAAAAGATTACAAACCTAGCGATAAACATGTTTTGAAAATGACACTATGTCAGTAAACAATGAAATGATTTATTTTCAAAGGTTCACTTGGCTTAAACAATAGCCCAAAATAAAAACTTAATTGTTAGACGAAGTATATATCTCATTTATCTTGATGAATCACAAACTCCAAATCATAATATAAAAGTGTTCTGTATTAGATTTCTTACTTTCATAGATAAAATAGTTCATTTTAACAGCCTCCGATATTCTTTGATGTATAGAAAGCTGATATGTCAGACCCAAAGCAAAGGTTAACTACTTCTTTCATATACTCACAACCAAATCACCGAAAAATATCGAAAGTAAAGTAAAGCTAATTACGCCACAATCCATACATGAAATTACTTATGCCTATTACACCTCGTGAAGGAGCATACCCGCCCTTCAACTTTGTCCTAGACAATCCTTTCCAGTTGTTTCAAGTTGTTATTCATTATTTTTATGTTTGCCTCTAGTTCCCGACACAATGTGTTCCTTGGTCTTTTACATTTCCGTTTCCCTTCAGAATTCCAATTTAGCATATGCTTCGTGATGCAGTTTAATGAGTTCCTCAATGTATGTCCTATCCTCCTCCAGAGTCTTTGCCTAATTTCCTCTTCAGTTGGAAGCTAATTTGTTCTCCAACAGTAGGCTGCTGCTGATGGTATCCGGTCCCCAGACATTGAGTATCTTGTGTAGACAATTGTTTATAAATAATTGTCTCTTTTCGATAATGGTTGTAGTAGTTCTCCAAGTTTCATCTCGGCACGGTAGAACTGTCTTGATGTTTATATTGAAGATTGTGACTTTGATGTTAGTTAACAGTTGTTTTTAGTTTCATATGTTCTTTAACTGTAGGAATGCTGCCCTTACTTTGCCAATTTTAGCCTTTACGTCTGCATCAGACCCTCCTTGTTCATCTATGATGTTATCCGCGTATGTGAATACATGACATAGGATGCAGTAAATGTTTCATTTGTTTGCGTATTTCAAGTTCGTGAATCTCAACTTTGATATTTTAGAACAGAAGTAAAATTACATTCGTATTTTATCGTGAAAAAGAGAATTCTTTGCTTTGTTCAACCTCAGTCCATGGAATTTAAACAAAGACCACTTCATGTAAGAACTGTTCCATAAAACGTTACTTTTAAAATAAGTAATCTAGTTTATTTGAGACAAAACTTCAGTTCTTAATATATGGGAAAGTTTATTGTCGATTCAAAAGGTCATACGACCCATAATTACCTTTTGTATTTTTTGGTTATATATCGAGTTCCATCTGCACTTCGTCTGATTCTCCAAGATGTAAGTGTAGTACTGCATGTTCTTGGATCTAACTTATGAGGCGAACCAGTTACACCATGAATCTCAGTTTGATTCTCACTCATATTTTTTTCATTCACATTTAAATTTGAGTTAGTTTGTTTGACAATAATATCATTATCAATATTACAATCTGTTTTCGATAGTATGTTTAATTTTTCTCGTAATATATATTGTTGTAGCCAAATCGTTTGTCTTAGACGGTCTGGTGTTGTGTAAACCATGTGAGGTAATGTTCCAGATGATTGGATAATTTGATTTTTTATACAGGTTTTGTTGATCAATTCACTTTTACTGGGAATGCAGAAAGACTTGTCACCGTCTGAATTCGACTATAAAAACAGCAAGAACAAAAGAAACTGAAGAATGTAATCAAAGTTAAATTTTAAAATAATGGTTATCAGTTTGTTGATTTTATGTTTGAAAAATAGAATTGCCTAAGATAAAAAAATAACCAGTATAATTAAAAATGTCTAATTAGTTATGATCTAATCAGTGGTACACGTGTATATGTATATTATAAAAATCTTTATAAACTCTTTTCGTTGTTTGAACCAGAAGACTTAAAGTTGCAATAATGAATTATCATATGTTGAGTGAAACTGAGGAACCTGTGGTATTATCACATGTACATTTAGTTTTAAAGAGTCGACAATAATACTATCTACCTTACGAGAAATTCTAGTAGATAATTAATCACTGTAAATTCGGTAAAAAGCTCCAGTAAATATCGACATTTAATGATGAAAAAACATGCTACACCTTTGGAAAGGCAAAAATACACTATTCGATAAAAAACTATTTTGTAACAAAACTGCTTTCATCAGTTTAAAAATCTTCATACAATATGCAAAAAATGAAGAATATAACATGTCAAATTCATGAATATATGCCTTCTTTCGACCTTTGTAAAATATCGTAATTATGGACTTGTAACTGTAGAGCCTGATGATCAAGTTATTTAAAACAATTGTTTGCTCAAATATTCTTCATTTTTGAAAACCGCTTTCAGTAATAATTATCATCCACCCACTATGGTTGAAGCTTTAACTTAGAAAAGTTGTTATAGTCACTTCAAAACATTCACAATGTTTCTTTTTCGACTTAAATAAAATAACAATTTTATGATTAGAAAAAAATGTATATAAAGTATGTTAGTTAGATTGACTTAATGTAAACAATTTACATTCAGTACTTAAGTTTTACGTTAGATTGAGAACATTCAATTGGTTAGTTTCAAAACTTTAAATAAACAAGAATTTCCGAAATCATAAGAAAAGCAACTATGATGTTACAAGCACATTTTTGTACTTCATATTAATGAAGGACCCAAACTGGTTTACAATTACAAATAAACAAATATTATAAGTAAATAACCAAATCAAGATTAATCCAAGTTTAAATAGTACCATTTGAACTATTATTTAAACTTGGATTAATTTTGATTTGGTTATTTATTTATGCTCTAAAGAAATGGCTTACACTAAGTGACGAAACGTCAGAAAATCTAATTTTTCTACTTATTAAAATATTTAAAAGAATCAGTCCCTTTAATAAATTTCGATATGCAATGAGAAGACGAAGTTTATCAGAATGATGAGATATATTTGCTCAATACAATCCGAGCAATGTGATCACACATATAGTGGTTAAGAAACATTTATACATGAAAATTAAAAGATCAACTAGACAGGTTAAAGTTAGGCCATAACAAAGAAAAGAAATAATAATTAAGTACACAAAAACAAATGTGATTACCTCTCTGGATAATAAATCAGCATTACCAGGGTAGATTAAGTGTTAGGACAAATTGCTTTGGAACACATAAATGGGGCTTCAACTTCCGTATAGCCAAGGCTTCAATAAACCTTAGTATACGTCCTTGAAGGCTTTTGTATAACACTACAAATGCTGACTTGATGTCAACCTTATGACCAGTCTCAATCAAATGTTTCGCAATGGAGGATGATGTCTGTCTATCCTGTGATCTTATTTTACCATTGGAATCTATTTTTGCTGCAACCATGTTGGTATGTGTTCACCCTCCCTTAATTGCAAATCACGATTGTTTCTGCACATACATGTAAACTGATAGACACAATGGGATGTGATACAATAGCTTTCGTGCTGTTTGGGCTTTTGGTGAAACATAGGCCTTGTCTTTTCGATAATGACAAGTTGGACTGCATTAAATGTCCGGTTGATGGCTAATTTAAGTCTCCGTTTCAACATGAGACTATTTGTGTCGCTTCTGAATAGTAACGTAATGTAAACTCCCTTTTGGGTTCCACAAGCGTCATAGGTCTAGTGGTATTGCAACCCTTCCAGCGGTTTATGAACTGCAAAGAATAACCATTATTCATTAACGTATCAGTCAAGAGCTTCGTCTCTACTTTAGTAGTATCACTAGTACAAATACGATTGATTCTATTGAATAAGCTCTTTATTAAACCACGTTTGTAATGAATAGGGCAGTGACTATGAAAATTAAGATATTGCCCTTTCAATGTTGGCTTTCTATATATAACACGTTGGATGGAACCATCATCTCTCCTACTAATCAGGATGTCTAGAAAATGAATTTGGTTGTTCTTCTCTTATTCACATGTAAGAGAAATGTGCTTTTGACTTCTATTGAATTATTCTAACCAGCGTTTATGTCTTCACATTTATCCCCTATGATTATTATATCATCGACATATCGTTTATACAGAACCATCTTTCGAATTGAGTCTTCAACTACATTTTCAACATTTCCCATGAACACATCAGCCAGCTATGGTCCTCAAGGGCTACCCATAGCTACACCATCTGTTTGTCGGAAGTGTTCACCATCAAAAGTGAATTTTACATTATCCGTACACAATAATAATAAATCTTCAAGAGTGTTAACAGGAAATGGCAGTGGTGTAGTCACACAAAATATCAATAGTTTTCCTGAGAGGTACATTTGTAAATAAAGTGTTCACATCAAAGGAGCAAATTGTCTTTATATTTATGTCCTTTAAATATTTAATTAATCCAAATGAGTCAGTCAAGGAATACTTACAATATTGATTTCGGATAGGGTTTAATACTTTTGTAAGCCATTTTGCAAGGTTGTGTGTAAGTGGCCGACACACTGATAGAATTGGACGTAGGGGGATGTTATGCATATGAATTTTAGGTAATCCATATAAAGTAGGATACGCCGAACCCATAGGTTTTAATAAATTAAACTCATACTTGTTAATAACGTTCATGTTTAACAATTCCACAAGATTCGAGTTTACTTTCTTTTCTAATTTACGTAAACCATAAGAGTCAACATCAGTCAAAAATTTGCTTTTATCACTGCGAATGGATTCCATTTTATTTTTGTAATCGGACTTATTCATAATAGCAACACCAGCTCCTTTATCGGTTTAAGTATAATAATATCGGCATTATTTCGCAATTCTCTTAATGATTTGAAGTGCTGAGAAGTTAATATGCTTCTCTGCTTTGGTCCAGAAGAATGAAACTGATGCGCTATATCCACTAGTTTGGCTTTATTACAAATATATTATTTGTTTATAACAATCTACCCAATGCTCAATTTATTTGAAATTATCAAGTCAACCTTGATAATGATACTTATAAACAAATATTATGAATATGAAATGGTTCTTTGAGTAGGATCCTATGCACTCAGTACGTAGCAATGCAAAACTAAGGAAATGAAAAATACTGCTCTACGATATGAAAGAAACGTATTATAATATCCCAAGATATCGTTACATTTTATCAGTAATCCATGAAGAGATGTGAATACTTGTTAAATATGCAAGTTTTATTTACAATAGTTAACTTGGTTCAATTCTGTTCATTTAAATTAACTAAGGTCATATGAATAGTTGAGTTCATTTAATTCATTGATAATTCATAGATAATTTTAATGGCTTTGTTGTACAGTAGTTGTGCTTTAGTGTCTATATTTAATAACATAGAGATCAACTATGTTACTAAGTGATCAGTGTTGTTTATTTGCATAATACTGACTTTAATAAAAGCTTAATCTGATTAATGAACTTAAATAAAAGGTGATACATTTCAATTTGTTGACGATTAATTAAACCTGACAAGTTATTGACAAAGTAAAACATACAAAACAGTATGCATTTTGCATATTGATTTTTATGTGTCTTTATCAAGTTAAATGACATCTATCCATTTTAGATTTTTAACATTATAAAATTGTAACTGTCATTATGTGGTTTCCAAATAGTTATATCTTGTCAGAAGAAAATCTCAGATACTGTTTATTCGTTATGATCAATCGAAGTTCGTGTTTATAATCGATTATTTGTTGAGATTTACATGTATGACAAAAACAACATTGATGATGTCAAATTGGTGTTGTTCTATTTATAAATCTTATTTGAAACTAATAAACAAAGATATTCTCCCTTAAATTATTGATTTCTAAACATATAATATATGTAATAAAATTAATGTCTAGTTTATTCGTAAATTATAAATATTATAAATACACAACGATACTTACAATTTTGACAGGTCTCAGTAATAGAAGACTGACGGATTTACCAGATCGTTCAAGAAGTTCATTTGCTTGTTTCAAATTTCTAACTGATACACCATTAATTTGTATAACCTGATCACCAGTTTTGATTCCATTTTTACAATTTTCCTGAATAAATAATCAGTTAGTCAGTTGTAATAGTTGTAGTACATTGTTTATATTTTCAAGTCTTAAGTAAATATTTTCATAAAGATGTATAAAGAATTTCTACTTAAAATTGTCTGTTTACTTATGTTTATTCTTTTATAAATTAGTGGTAATCTATAAATAATAATTTCCCATCAGAATAGCGTAATACTCATATTTAATCATGAAAATTTTGGTAAAGTTAAGAATTTGTCATGGATTATTGAAATAAATTAGATATTTATCAGATTTACTGGTCAAAGTAAATATTCTCAAGACTGAAACCGAATTAGAATTGAAAGAGAATGAATTCGACTAGTTACAAATAACTACACTGTGTAATATGTACTGTTTTATATGAATTACCGGTGATCGAATGTTTTAATAAATTACAATGAATAAAAGATATAGCAGACGCCAATTCATTGTTATTATCTTCTAAGCTTTAATTATCATAGCTTGCAGTAAACATCTATACACAAAATGAAAGTAAATTATACTTTTGTATGGTATATTATTGTACCATCTTTATGAGTGATTTAACGAAAGAGTTCAACAATCAGCAAAATTGTATGAGGAAGATTAACAAGATAGGAGTCAGTATCTAAGAGTTTGTAAGCATTCACAATTTTAATATATTGTTGAACACAGTATAGGTTTTATAAGTCTATATCGGCTGAATGTCAGAGGAGAAAGTGATTAATTTAAATAAAGCAAAGTACACTTATTACCTTATTAAGATCAAGTATGAAATTTTTAAAAAAAAACTATATTATTTAATATAGCTGTGTTCAGCAGCTCAGCGAATAACGTGTTTGGTGTTTGTAGCGAAAGATTCTGAGTTTGAGTCTCGATGTGAACAACAACACTGAAATGCAAACACATTCAGTTGGTACGTTTCAAGTAGGAAGAAACGCACTAGCTACTATCTAAGTTTACTAAAACTTATGTCTGTTTAATAAGATCGAGGGAATCAGCTCAAAATTAATTAAATTATAGGATGCTAACGTTTTGAATAAAAATTGTATGGTACTGAGATGACTTAACTATGTTTAATACTTTAAAACAACACTATTTTAATATTGTACGTTGCAAAAAATACAAATAATAGCTAATAAGTTTTCACAAGACACTGAGATTTGAGTAAGCTGTTGAAATTTGTTATTCCAACAAAACTTTAAGTTACATTTGTTTTCAATGCAAATTGTGTGGACGAAATAGTTTCAGTAAAAAACATAAACTTTAAAATTATATTGTAGATTGAAGATAACTGACTGTATTCACCAGAACAATTTCATAAAGAATCAAGATGTCGGTAACCTGTAAACTGATGTAAAGTGAATGTAAAGGTTATTGTGATTTGTTCGAATTTTATTGAACTGAATTCTGCTAATATACATACACATATAACATTGAGATCTCAAAAGTATTATCTAATTAGTTATTTTAAAGATTTTCAGATATTCTGCGTGATAAAAAAATGTATTATCAATCTACTTAACTCACCGTTTCGACGAACACATCTTCATAATGTTGCTTACCAATGTTTTGTAGATTGCTTGATGTTAATGTTAGATTAAATCCGGAGTTTGAACCATGATCAATGCGTTGTACGTGAACAGACTGTATCAAATAAAATGGAATCAAATCAGAAATCAATGCCAACAAAAAACAGATAAACGAGAATTTAAATTTTATGCACGAAATAATGGATATTATTTCAACAAGGACCTTTACTACAGGATAAGATAGCTAACCCAATGCTCACCTCTCTTTTTTATTCGAGCCTATGACCTTCAGTAACTATGGAAAGGCTTCAGGCGGAATTCACAGTGTATAAATTCTATTGAATTATATAATATAAAAATTATGATTTTTTTTGAGTAAATATTCGTTAAAAGTATACAATGTTGTAATTCTGTTGAATAATCTAATTTCATTTATAGTGAACCAGATATCTAATCGTAACGGTTCTATAAGAGTTTTATGGCAAGAAAATTAACTTCATATACTACAATAAAAATATATGTCTACAAATGTGATGAGTAATGAAAAACGTTAAAACAATACACTTTCTACTTGTAAAGCTATAGAAACTAATGTTCAGTATCTCACACTAGTTTCTAACAACATTTCTCCTTTATCCGGGCTTGGGACCGGCAGTAGCCGCCGGTGGGACTCCAGGCGGAGTTATTTTGACAGTAATATACAATAAACAAATCTGAAGTTTTATTCAATGATACAATTGATTTAAGGTTTAAGTGTTAAAATGAATTGGTTTTATTTGATCATTTGTATGTGGAATTCGAATAAATTACACAGACACAAATAATAAACTTGATTTTAATGTAATATTTTCAATAGTTTGATATTTTTGTTTCCATTAAACGATTCACTATTGATTATCTACTTTTCTCGAGTGGTGATTTGTCGAATTAAAAGTTTATATATTCCGTTTTATTCTATTTAATCAATTAAATAATGCAAAAAATCATCAATGAATCAATAGACGATAAAGTTATTTTCACTTAATGCCGGATAGTATAAGTTGAAATAGATATAGGATCAGAATATTAGCTGTATGGAGTGTCAAAAAGAGCGGATAATTATAATGAAACATGAGCTGTGAGTACTGTTCAATTATTTAAGTATACTGGTACAACAGAGAAATTCAATTGCTGTTACCAGTTGCATCTAACTGTTCAATATATGTTTAACTCAGTGTATTAGTTTTTACAGTAATTTAGATTTTATTTTGATAATCATGTTACTAATTTAGCCATGGTTTTTCAAAAAAACATCGAAAATTTCAGCAATATATTTTTTTAGAACGATCTTACAATAACCATATTTATTCCAACATCGTTGCTTTTATCGTATTCTCTATACGTGAAGTTCAGATTAGTGAAAAGAGTTTATGAGATGAAGAGCAAATCAAGAAGTACTGGTAAATAAGGTATGTTACATATTTAATAACGTAAAGCGACTGAAGAGTTGACATCAGCTATCCTCAAAATATCAACGACTACTTTGACAGAAATCGGGCGCCGCGATCACAGGAGACGTTAAATGTGTATTTGAATAATTATTATGATTTAAAAGAACTTCATCCATAATCGATCAAATTTGAACAGGGTGCAAACTATTGACCATTTATCTAGTATCTACGATGAGATTTACATCTTTGATATTCAAATCTAGATGATTAGTGTACAATTTTACATGTAAGCATGTAAGCACATTCGATATTCTTCTATAATAATATGTAACTACTTCAGTGTAAATAATTATAATGTTTCCTCTGACAAATTAGTTCGATCTCATTCAACAAATATAAACGATATCCACATTATCAAAGAATGTATACATAAGTAACAAGATCTTATCTAATACTTATCCAATTGTGTTTATTTGCTTATGATAAGGTTACGACATAATCTAATACATGAAAATTGTTCATTACATGAAGAATGTATGTATGCTTTGCATATATCTGTATTTTATTGCTATTAGAACAAAGTCATGTGAATTGAAGGGCAAAATCAATGAAATTCATAAGAAAAATCTCATATCACTGCAAGTTTCGATATGTCCACTTTGTTTACAAATGCATTCTGCAAGCAAGCGTTAGATATAATTGATGAATGTTCGGGATCAGGTAAAGTATAAAATTCACGTCATCTGTTATATTTTCTTCAGATTATTAAATGTTTGAAATTATATCCGTGTTATACACCATTCTTTTTTCAGGTGATCTATATCAACAGAGAGAAGAAGAACCGACGAATTCATCACTATTACCTATAATTTCAAATTTATTAATAAGCGTTTCAGAGAATAATGCAATTATGAGATGTGGGTATCCACCTAAAATTTGGTTTCGATACGTGAATAACATATTCGTTGTATTCAGATATGGCAGATTATAAGAAATATTTGAACTGGTTAACAATAGGTAGAAAAGTATTAAATTGACCGAAAAGATTGACACTGTACATCATAAACTAATATTTCTCGAATGTTTGGTTGGAAGAATTCGTAACTATAGTGTAAAGACTAGCATATTCTGTAAATCAATAATATTAAGAAAGATAATTAGATAATGAGTCAGAAAAGTCAATTTCAGTGAAAGTTACAGTCGTTAGAAATTTGGTAAATAGCAGTAATTAGCTTGTTACGAAAGCAAACAATAAACATGCTGAAGTTAATTTGATTCCGTCAATATTTTGAGCAAATAAGTGAAGAGAGAAGAACAAATCATAATGTACATAGAGAGAATGGAAACTCATGGTAGTCATCTCATATTGTAAAGAAAGATCGAAAGAAACAAAAATTATTTTAAGCAGACATGATGTTGGTTATTTTTGAGCCAGTGACACTATTAGATCAACTTTAGTTAGAGTAATGAAACAGGATACCAAAAGAGAAACAATAAGACTGTATTTATGAAATTAAGTGCAATGAGTGTAGTGCTGTGTATGTAAGAAAAATATCTATATAGTTGAACATCAAGTTGAAGAAGCCCTAAAAATGTTTGAAACATATTTCCAAATCCTTAGCTGAACCCAAGAAGCTGAGAAACAGCTAAGCAATGGAGCAACAAGTATTAGAAAAACGATTTTGAAGGGACGAAAATACTTTAAAAAGGATTCAGCTCACCTAACGAAGGAATTACAACCGAGGCTTTGTGTATATGGGCGAATCAGAACAGTATTCATAGAAGACACATTACGGAAAGTGATTATTAATAAATAAATACAAGGATCGTAAACTACCACTACATGACCAATTTTAGCAACACCACTGGACACTATGATAATAATTATGACTATTTAGTTTTAAAATCTATGTATATCTCAGCTGATCTATTTAACTCTAATACAGTTCCAGATTAATGTTTAACGTAAACGATTAATTGTCCTTATATGTAAACAGATTCATCCTTTATTCACTGTTTCTTATAGCAGTAAAATACAGATATATGCAAAGCATACATACATTCTTCATGTAATGAACAATTTTCATGTATTAGATTATGTCGTAACCTTATCATAAGCAAATAAACACAATTGGATAAGTATTAGATAAGATCTTGTTACTTATGTATACATTCTTTGATAATGTGGATATCGTTTATATTTGTTGAATGAGATCGAACTAATTTGTCAGAGGAAACATTATAATTATTTACACTGAAGTAGTTACATATTATTATAGAAGAATATCGAATGTGCTTACATGCTTACATGTAAAATTGTACACTAATCATCTAGATTTGAATATCAAAGATGTAAATCTCATCGTAGATACTAGATAAATGGTCAATAGTTTGCACCCTGTTCAAATTTGATCGATTATGGATGAAGTTCTTTTAAATCATAATAATTTGCTAAGTGCTTTGTTTTTTTCTTTGGCATTTAAGGACAAAAAACAGTTGCATTTTAAAGAATAAATTAGATCATTATGATAATGTTAATGGAATAAAACAAGCTGTAAGAATACTTAATTCGACTTTCACAGAAAAAATTTATTCTTAAAGGATTTTCATGAGTATGAACGATTATGAAAAACCAGTTTTGATATGTGCACTGAATACGAATATATCAAACTACTGTTCTTGTTTTTAAAATGGGTATTTTAACATACTTTTTATTCATATAACTTCTCTTCACAAAAGTATTAAGAAAATGGAATTCAATGTCATTTTTTATATATGAGTCTAAATATTTCAAGCCAACTTCGCATTCCAAATTGAATGTCCTACATATAATAATGTATTTCATAATGAATTTCAAAAATGTTTAATAGAAATGTTGATCATTATGGTTCAATGTGGTTGAGAGACAGGTCAAATCAGATAATTTTCGTACGACATCACAAATAAACTTGCATTTATCAACTTAAAACTATAGATACAATCATCTTACAAAATAGTGTTGGCCATGGTACACAGTTTCACATTTTATTTGAAGTCATACATGTGGATTGCTAAGGAGTCTTAAATCAAGACAAAACTGATTGGATTTTTGTATTGATAGTAATTAAAAGACATGTAGTATTCACATCAGGGATATTACTTACGATCAATATTGTAACATTTCACAATGCTCTCATTAGATTTTAGTATATAAATAACTTTTTGATTATAAATTAGCTGAAATGTTTTATAATTCTATTTGAAATTTCATCATAATTGTTAATTCATTATGAGAAAAATAAATGCTTTAAAAAGTCATCACCAACTCTGGGATGCAGGTACATCCAGCTGACGAGTTCCAAATAAAACGAAACGCGCGTGCTGGGATTCCACTGCTAGCCACTATCCATACATCTGACATCCGTTCAATAGAATCTTGAACTAAAGACGAAATACTATTCAATTGAAGTAGTGATTTATTTTCTCTCAAAGATAAATATATTCAATGAAAAAAATTACTGTTTCAATACATGTCTAAATAAACCTCTTTTCATAAAGTCAGACACACGATAAATTGTATCATGTCGAATAAATGTAGTTACTTAAAAACACGATTTACACAATATGTTTATTCTGTTGTTTGCAATTTCTCTAAAGTTATTAGTCTTTCTCCCTAACATTTATATATTTAATGGTTAGTGAAACT